AATGCTTTGTCTTTTTCACCAATATCTTAATATAATATGGCTAATAAGTTAAGTTTATAGTATTAACCTCTATTATAATAGACTGTTGCATCATTTGGATCAAGTTGGATTGATTGATTATAGTCACTTAATGCTTTTTCTTTATCACCAATATCTTAATATAATATGGCTAATAAGTTAAGTGTATAGTATTAACCTCTATTATAATAGACTGTTGCATCATTTGGATCAAGTTGGATTGATTGATTATAGTCACTTAATGCTTTTTCTTTATCACCAATATCTTAATATAATATGGCTAATAAGTTAAGTGTATAGTATTAACCTCTATTATAATAGACTGTTGCATCATTTGGATCAAGTTGGATTGATTGATTATAGTCACTTAATGCTTTTTCTTTATCACCAATATCTTAATATAATATGGCTAATAAGTTAAGTGTATAGTATTAACCTCTATTATAATAGACTGTTGCATCATTTGGATCAAGTTGGATTGATTGATTATAGTCACTTAATGCTTTTTCTTTATCACCAATATCTTAATATAATATGGCTAATAAGTTAAGTGTATAGTATTAACCTCTATTATAATAGACTGTTGCATCATTTGGATCAAGTTGGATTGATTGATTATAGTCACTTAATGCTTTTTCTTTATCACCAATATCTTAATATAATATGGCTAATAAGTTAAGTGTATAGTATTAACCTCTATTATAATAGACTGTTGCATCATTTGGATCAAGTTGGATTGATTGATTATAGTCACTTAATGCTTTTTCTTTATCACCAATATCTTAATATAATATGGCTAATAAATTAAGTGTATAGTATTCACCTCTTTTAAAATAGGTAATTGCATTATTTGAATCAAGTTGGATTACTTTATTATAGTCACTTAATGCTTTTTCTTTATCACCAATATCTTAATATAATATGGCTAATAAATTAAGTGTATAGTATTCACCTCTATTATAATAGACATCTACATATTTAGGATTAAGTAGGATGGCTTGATTATAGTCACTTAATGCTTTTTCATTATCACCAATATCAACATATAATAAGCCTAAAATATTTAGTGTAATAGTATTCACCTCTTCCAAAATAGGCAATTCCTAATTTAGGATCAAGTTGGATTGCTTAATTACAATCAATTAATGCTTTGTCTTTTTCACCAATATCTTAATATAATATGGCTAATAAGTTAAGTTTATAGTATTAACCTCTATTATAATAGACTGTTGCATCATTTGGATCAAGTTGGATTGATTGATTATAGTCACTTAATGCTTTTTCTTTATCACCAATATCTTAATATAATATGGCTAATAAATTAAGTGTATAGTATTCACCTCTATTATAATAGGCATCTACATATTTAGGATTAAGTAGGATTGCTTGATTATAGTCACTTAATGCTTTTTCTTTATCACCAATATCTTAATATAATATGGCTAATAAATTAAGTGTATAGTATTCACCTCTATTATAATAGGCATCTACATATTTAGGATTAAGTAGGATTGCTTGATTATAGTCACTTAATGCTTTTTCTTTATCACCAATATCTTAATATAATATGGCTAATAAATTAAGTGTATAGTATTCACCTCTATTATAATAGGCATCTACATATTTAGGATTAAGTAGGATTGCTTGATTATAGTCACTTAATGCTTTTTCTTTATCACCAATATCTTAATATAATATGGCTAATAAATTAAGTGTATAGTATTCACCTCTATTATAATAGGCATCTACATATTTAGGATTAAGTAGGATTGCTTGATTATAGTCACTTAATGCTTTTTCTTTATCACCAATATCTTAATATAATATGGCTAATAAATTAAGTGTATAGTATTCACCTCTATTATAATAGGCATCTACATATTTAGGATTAAGTAGGATTGCTTGATTATAGTCACTTAATGCTTTTTCTTTATCACCAATATCTTAATATAATATGGCTAATAAATTAAGTGTATAGTATTCACCTCTATTATAATAGGCATCTACATATTTAGGATTAAGTAGGATTGCTTGATTATAGTCACTTAATGCTTTTTCTTTATCACCAATATCTTAATATAATATGGCTAATAAATTAAGTGTATAGTATTCACCTCTATTATAATAGGCATCTACATATTTAGGATTAAGTAGGATTGCTTGATTATAGTCACTTAATGCTTTTTCTTTATCACCAATATCTTAATATAATATGGCTAATAAATTAAGTGTATAGTATTCACCTCTATTATAATAGGCATCTACATATTTAGGATTAAGTAGGATTGCTTGATTATAGTCACTTAATGCTTTTTCTTTATCACCAATATCTTAATATAATATGGCTAATAAATTAAGTGTATAGTATTCACCTCTATTATAATAGGCATCTACATATTTAGGATTAAGTAGGATTGCTTGATTATAGTCACTTAATGCTTTTTCTTTATCACCAATATCTTAATATAATATGGCTAATAAATTAAGTGTATAGTATTCACCTCTATTATAATAGGCATCTACATATTTAGGATTAAGTAGGATTGCTTGATTATAGTCACTTAATGCTTTTTCTTTATCACCAATATCTTAATATAATATGGCTAATAAATTAAGTGTATAGTATTCACCTCTATTATAATAGGCATCTACATATTTAGGATTAAGTAGGATTGCTTGATTATAGTCACTTAATGCTTTTTCTTTATCACCAATATCTTAATATAATATGGCTAATAAATTAAGTGTATAGTATTCACCTCTATTATAATAGGCATCTACATATTTAGGATTAAGTAGGATTGCTTGATTATAGTCACTTAATGCTTTATCTATGTCACTTATATTTTCATATAATCTGGCTAATAAATTAAGTGTAATATTACTCACCTCTTTCATAATAGGCCAAACAATATTTAGGATTTATTTTTATCGCTTAATTGAAATCTCTTAATGCATCAATAATCAATTGTTTATCTTAATAATATAAACCTTGAATATAAATATTAAATTACCTCTATAGATAAAAGCTTAATAACAGTTTTCATCATTTTCTATAGCTTAACAGTAATATTAGAACTCATTTTCCTGTTATTACAAATCGCTCATAATAGTTCCTTTACATTTATGTTTATTTTTTACCCATTCTAGAATATCCCATGGCAAAGTTTGGATTGATCTAAACACACCTCTTACAATCTTCTAATGCTAGATCAAAAATTTTTTATCTCCAATAAATTGTTGCTTAAATTATCAAATCTAATTAATACCCCTTTAATAATAACTTTCAGCATTTTGATTATTTATAGATAAGCTTTAATTTACATCTTCCAATGCTTTATCATATAATTTTAAGTTTTCATATAATTCACCTAAATCGATATTTAAAACATTGAACTTCTTAAACTGTAGGCTTCTGAAAATTAAGGACAAAGATTTAAGGCATTATTAATTTCTAATAATGCTTCTTCAATTCTATAAGTAATCTTAAACTCCTAAAAATGATTACATTTAATAATTGTACCCTGCTTCTTGAATAATGTGCTAATGCGCCAGCATTCCAGTATTCCTTTGGGCTGTTGTTGCTCATTTTTGAGATGTATCCAAATTTTTTTATAAAATAATTAATAAAATTTAGGGTATTCAAATTTGGTTAAATATCAAAGTTCTGATGAATAAACATAAAATTTGTATTTTTGCAGAAATATATTTGAGGTTTTTTTAGCCAAATATCTCCCATTATATATTTAATTTAATCTTTATTCTTAGGTTTTATATATGAATCACTAAGAGCTAATTAATTGATGAGGATGCTTTCTTTCTTAATTAAAAAGGCATAATTTAATTTTTTATTCTTAATTTGAGTATTTTTCTTTTAATGCAGAATTCTAATATTTCTGATTATTATTATCCTTTTTATCAAAATAATTAAATATCTGTTGCTTAGAGCTCAAATTAAATATAATTAATATATTAATAAATTAGAATTATGTTTGTAGCAACTAGATAGTTTAGAAGATTGTAGTTAAATATATATGGCTAATATAAAGATTAATATTCTACAATAGAAGAGCTCCCAAAAAGCAGGATTAAAGAGCAAACGTAGTGAGACATCTGCCTTTGCTTTTATTTCCCCTTTTTTTTCCTTTATATCTAATTTCAATTGCTGGAAAGAAAGCCTAGTTTTTATACTATTCTTTAATGATATTGTATCATCAATATTCTTTTATTTTATACAATAACTTCTGCCTTTTAATTTAATCACTTTAAAACAAGATGATCTATTAAATTCTAAACGATTAATAAACTTGTCAATAGTTGTTTACAATGCTTCATCTAATAAGACTGAAGAATTAATTGTTAAAGCACTGCATTATGTATTCATTAATATGAGTTTAGCGATCAATTCCTTTTTTATAATTTGATTAAGTCCTAAAATTTTCTTATTAGATCTTCCTTATTCTTGATTTATAATTTATCTATTTCTTTATATTGCTACTTATAATAATCAGTTAATTTCTTATTTTTAGATGATGTAATATATGTGCTTCTATCTATTGTAATTTTAAATTTCTTATTATTATCTAAACCATATAATTCCTATAATGGTTCATTTTATATATATATATTATATGTGATTGATTAATTAAATCATTATATTTTTTTAACATATACAATTTTTCATTATAATATATTGTATTATACTAAATAAATTTCTATTCCCAGCAAAATTAAATAAAAAAATTTGTTATAAATCATTTGAAATTATACGATATGTTTCTAGTACAAAAAGTTCAAGGATAAATATGAATAGAATCTTTTAGATCAATTTATATCCAATTTTTTCTTGTATTCTAAAGAAAAATCTTGAAAATAGAGAAATTAGAATGAAAATGTAAAAGCTAATATCTAAGTACCATAGTAATAATAAGATTAATCCCTCTTCAAATTGAATTTGCTCTACATAATAGGTCACATATATATCATAATATCTATTTTTCTAATTAAGATTTCTAATTTCCAATCAATTCTTTGAAGGAATCTCTTTGACTTTTATGGTTTTCAGTTTAAGATTAATATTTAGGAAATTGAAATTACAAAATAGTGCTGTTTGGTGATTCAATCTTATTGATTTCTAACTTTACAATTTCTATTCCTTTATTATAGCCTTAATGTAATGTAATGATTTGATTTAATGGCCATAGATTAAGAAGGGTTATCCTCTATTCCTTCAACTCTGATACTACTTCTTACTTAGTAAACACTTTTCCGAATAGTAGAACTTATTATGACTTAAGACTTTCTTTAGATATCCTTTCTTTTAGGTACTGGGACAAATTGAATTAATTTTTGTTGTCTACTCTATTATAATTTATTATATATGTATACGTAACTATAAATATTAATACTTTGAGAACACTTGGTTTGAACTATAACTTCTTCTTTTACTGATCTAGAGAAAGAGAACTGGAATCATAATAAGAAGACCAGAATAAGATAGTTTGTAATACTTAAAATTTAAATTTTTATGCTGTCATTTTAAGTAGCTTAGTTTAAAGAAATAAAGATGAAAACTCATTATTGGACATAATTTAATTAATTAATTATTTTAATAAAATATAAATTAGAAAAAAGAGGTATTTTTTAATTCAGAGCCAATAACAATATCACATTATCAAATAGATAGAAAGATATTCTATGTTAAAGGACAATATGGAGCTATTTATGTTTGTTCACATTTCAAAATCCCAATTCGTAACTATATGCTGAGGTAATCTTGAAAAGAAAAATTGAAATCATTTTAGTACTCATGCCAATAAAAAGAGAAAACTAAAACTCACAACAAGTATTCAATAACTAATAAAATGGCAGAGTTTCCTTAATATTGGAACTTTGTCATGAAGGTGATATCAAAAATTACTTAGTATAAGAAAACTAGCCATTCTATTAAGATTGTTGCTCTTATAACCTATGGATATTAGACATTTTATAAATGTAGAATTATACATAGAGTTATTAAATCAGCCAACATTCTTATTTCAAATGGTACGTTCAAAATTGATGATCTGGGTATAAGAGGAGTCATTGAAGATATAAATTATGCATAAAACTGTACAGAAGTTGGATCACCAGCTTATGCTGTTCCAAAATTATTTTTAGTAACAAAGTTTCCTCCAAAGCTGATATTTATTCATTAGGTATCATAATCAATTATGAATAATTACCTATATGAGCTAATACATAACCATAATTATTATAAAATTAAGAAGTCTCAAAGCAACATCAAAATAATGTGATGAACAATATCTTTAAGGTATTGTGCCATAAAATGTAAGAGACTTAAGTTAAAATACTTTATTATAATGAAAATGAAAGATGCTCTTGGTTAGATGAGTTTTCATCTGATGTATTGGCATAATACAAATCTGAAATTAACTTATTATCAATCTCTACTTAAACTACTCAGAATACAATTTAACCTAGACTCTTATTTGTATAATTCTAAAAGTTTTATAGAGTATATGATCTATCAGATAATAAAAATACTTCAAACTATTTGTATTTTGATTACTAAAACTGATTTAGCTAATAAATTTCATAAATATGTGAAAGAATAAAAGTATATTATTAATTTTATATTTTACCGTCTGGTTAAGCTTTAGTCCTTTTGAGATAAGGAGAATTAATATTATCATCTTTATTTATTTCTTGATATCGATAAAAATTAATTAAAAATATTTTAGGGTTATTACTTAATTATAAGCAATTATCTTTCCATAAGTATTAAAAGAGAACTATTAAATTAATGATATAAATTCTAGGAGTTTAAAAAAATATATACATCCAAAAAACCCTCAATATATCATATCTATTATTGAGAGATCTATTATAATTTTTGTATCTAGGTTTAAATACTATTTCAAAAGTGATTTACCTAAAGCTAAATAATTAAAGAAAGTACTTGAATAGGATGACGATACAAATTATTTATTCTTTGCTCAAATATTCTCTTTTATTTTTCATCTTTCTAAGAATTCTTTTCAGAAAATTTAAATGAATCAAATAATTAGAAGTATTTATATAATAATCAGATTATTGAACTTATTAAGGAGAATAAATATTTTCAAACTTAAATTTCTATATATGAATCCTTGAAAACCCATCCTACCTCTAATTTAGAGTTAACCAAAATTATCAGTTGATTCATTATAAACAATAAATTTCTATTAAATATTAATTATCATGACCTCCTAAATGAACCCTAATCAAGAATTCCCTTTATATATGAATATGGTTTCATATTTCACTTCTTATGTATTTTTAAAAATTATATATATTATGTGTTTTATGATCTTAGTAGCATTTTATTTTATAATTAAAAAATACTAAAAATGAAAATTTATAATAGTGATTAAGATTATTATGTTTTCTATAAGAATAAAAAACTTACTGCTATTTATTAGAAATATAAATTTATGAAAATTTTTGATTTTGAATTTAATTAAGAATTAAGAGCATCAACTTAATCTATTAATTGAAAAATATAAACTTTTGTGTCCTTTATTAATAAATGAAATAGTATGAATAGATTGATTTCAAGTGAATCTTATTATAGAAAAAGAAAAGTGAACCTTAAAGTCTCTTTAATGTTGTAAAATTAAAATTAAAAAATCTTTTAGGGAGTACTTCTGAAAAACAGAATTATTTAAATCCATTGATTGGTAAGTTTATGTAAATTTAAATAATTTTTTAAGTTTAATTCAAAATGCTCTTACATAATATTTTGAACTAATAAAATAATTCATAGTTTATATAATAAGTTGCCTTAATTTATTAAAAATAAAAAACTAAGGAATTTAAATTATTTAAACAACCAAATAAAATGAAATGATAAAGTATTTATCAGTAAATGAAAGAAGGAGAACATTTGTTAAATTGAATTGAAACAGAAGAGTCAAATTAAGTGTATTATTGCTTACATCC